GCAATCCAAAGGCTGGGATAACTGCAAGTAAGAATCACAGAATCACTAAATCGTTTTGGTTGGAAGGGACCTTAAAACATCCAGTTCCATCCCTCTGCCATGGGAGGAACTTAAACAGATCACGCTGTGCAGAGCTCCATCCAATTTGACCTTCAACACAGCCAACTCCATGGATGAGGCACCCATAGCTTCCATGGGCAACTTGTGCCACTGCCTCACAGCTTTTCAAGTAAAGAACCGCCTCCTACTCCCTGACCTAAATCCCATATATTTTAAAATCACTCCCCCTGGCCCTGTCGCTATCAGCCCATGTACCAAGTGTCTTCCCCTCATGTTTATAAGCTCCTTTCAAGTAGTGGAAGGCTGCAGTGGAGCCTCCCGGGAGCCTCTCGTCTCCGGACTGCACAAAGGAAAGTCGTGCTGTTTAGCAGCGCACAGGAAACGCCTGCAAGACCAAAACGGGTACTTCTGGGCGCCCAGGGCTGCGGTCCGGCCCCGTGGGAAGGCTCTTCCCACGAAGAGCAGCGTGCCTTTCGGCTCGGTCCCCCGGACCGCCCAACAGCGTGGCTTCGCTCCTCTCCCCCTGCAGGGAGCCCCTCGGGGCACTAAGGGCACGCTCAACAGAGGGCAGAGCAGCGATGGGACCACAGGCTGGGACGCCGGTACCCACCGCAGCTCCGAGGGAAGAAGGGGGGAGAGCTGCCCGCGGGCAGCGGGGAACGGCAGGCCCCGCGCGGGGACAAGCCCGCAGTCACGCCGGGGGACGTGCCCGGAGACGTGTCCGAGCACGCGCAGCGAGCGCCCCGCCGGCACCGCCGCCGCCGCCTGCGCGCTCACACCTCCCCACTCCCTGTGCCGGCCCGGGCCGCCCCATGCTGACGTGTCGCTGCTCTCCCCAGATACAGCGCGGGGCCGAGCCCAGCGCCGCGCGTTTGCGCTGCCGCTGTCTGCATGGCGCCCGGGGGAGGAAGGAGGCCCCCTGCGCAGCGCGCACCCCGCGTCCCGTCGCGCGCGCCCCCGCTCTATTTGTTTACAACCGATTACGTCACCCCCCCGTCTCCAGGCGCCGCCTTCCATCCGCCGTCACGATGGTGCGATCGTCCGATTGGCTGCGCCGCGCCCCCGGCGCTGCGACGTCGCTTCCGGCCGGCCGTAGCTATAAGAGGCGGCGGGAGGCGCTCGGCTTCCTTCGCCCTTCTCAGCAGGAGATGCGTGGAGTGCTGCCGCGGCCGCCGCCGTTGCTGCCGCCGCCCCCCTGCCGCAGGAGGAGGAGGCGGAGGCTGCCGCCCCCGGGATGTGATCTGGGTACCGCCACCCATTCCTCACCCAGTTAAAGCCGCTCGCGCTCCGCTCCGTTCGCCCGCCGCCCCGTCCGGGTGCCCGCCGGCCGCCCCGGAGAGCTGGCTGCCGGCCGTCGCCGCCTCCATGCATCCCGCCCTGTACACCCGGGCCAGCATGATACGCGAGATCGCCGCGGCCGTGGCCTTCATCTCCAAGTTCCTGCGCACCAAGGGGCTGATGAACGAACGGCAGCTGCAAACCTTCAGCCAGAGCCTGCAGGAGCTGCTGGCAGGTGAGGGCGGCGGGAGCCGCGCCTCCCGCGGGGCCGGAAAAGCGAGCCCGGCCCCGCCGCGCCCCGCCGGTGGCGGTCGAGGGAGGGGTGTGGGGGCGGCGGGGTCTGTTGGCGCCGTTCAGCACTGCCGCGTCGCTCCCCGGCGGAGGGGGCTGTAAACAAAGCGCTCCTGGCGCGGTGTGCTCACCCCCCGTGCACATCCCGCAGACAAAGCGCTCGGAGCAACCCGCGCTTCCAGCTCCAGCCGTCCCGTGTCCGGCAGGGAAAATGTTCCTAAATGGCTCTTTTGTCGAGTGAAATAGACTGTGTGACTCAGTTCCTCTTCTGGGAACGTCTTATACTCGCCCTAAAAGTCGGGTTGGGAGTAAATACCGATAATTTTCTCGCTGCCCCGTAGAGCTGGTAACACCCAACTCGTGTCCTAGGCTGCCTGGCGGTGGCTGGTACCTCGTGCCACAAGTGGTTGCAGGGTGCTGGGTGGGATAGAACTCCGAAGGTAAGTTAAGCAGTAGATCTCACTTGGGAAAGTAGTCTGAAAAGATAGTTGGGATGAAGAACTTGAGCCCATATATGTCGCCCAGTTGTTTTCCTGATCATTTTTAGGTGCTCTTAGAATTTGAAGAATTAAGGCATGGGCATAATTGCAAAATTTATGCTGAAAAGGTGCTTCTCGGTTCATGGTGCTTTTCAAAGTGCTTTGTAAGCACTCTGTTATAGTCGTTTTGATGAATACCAGGAAGTTGTTTCGCTCCTTTCAGATGGCAGACATTGTTCTCTGTATGGTAACACAAAACAATAAGCGTACATGAGTGCTCCCGATGGGGTGCTGCACTTCTGTAAATCATCGCAGAGAGAGACCACAATGATATTCCAAATCAGCTGATCCTAAAATAAGCATCTCGGCACCTACAGTTGTGAAACTTTGTAAGACAACAGTAATCAGTGTGCTCTTTTTTGAATGCAGAATTAAGGAGGATAATCTTTTTTTTTTTTTTTTTTATAGAACATTATAAGCACCACTGGTTCCCAGAAAAGCCATGCAAGGGATCAGGTTACCGATGTATCCGGATCAACCATAAAATGGATCCTCTCATTGGACAGGCAGCACAGCGGATTGGATTGAGCAGTCAGGAACTGTTCCAGCTTCTTCCGAGCGAACTCACTCTATGGGTTGACCCGTATGAAGTGTCCTATCGTATTGGAGAGGATGGCTCGATCTGTGTGCTGTATGAAGCTGCACCAGCAGGAGGTAGCCAAAATAACACCAACATGCAAATGGTAGACAGCAGAATAAGCTGTAAGGAGGAACTTCTCTTGGGCAGAACTAGCCCTTCCAAAAGCTACAATATGATGACTGTATCGGGTTAAGATATAGTCAGTGGATGGATCACCTTAAAATGGATGGATAAGTTTGGTTTTTACTTTGGGTGGGCACCTCTAGGGGATGGATTATGGAATTTAAACCATGTCACAGCTGTGAAGATCTGGCACACGTTAGTGGTATTCTTTAAAGTGACAGTGCCATAGTTTGGACAGTACCTTTCAGTGATTTAATAGCCTGTGAGTCAAAATGATTACAACTTGCTAGGGAGTGAAGAAGATCTAGGAAGGGTCAGTTTCTCCAAGACATCTTACTTAATTTCTACACCAATTCTTTCGACTCCAATCTGTATTTATAAAGTGATTCTCTGCAGTATGTCTTGCAGAGTCAATTTGCACTATTACATTTATTAATTGTTAGCATTTTTGGCAGCTCAGTAACAAGACTTACTGTTATGAACACAATAGTACTGGAAATTTTATCTTTCAGACTTTTACCTAGCACTTACAACTGTGTATAAATGTACATAAGATAAACTAGTAAGTATGACCTGGGGAAATGGTCAGATCTTTACATTGGCCTCAGAAGTAGCAAGTGATCAGAGTTTGCCATGGCAACAGGCTTTAAAAAAAGACCATATAAAGACACTGTCTGAACTGTGGTGTTAGCACCAGCCAGCTATCTGTACATTTGCTAGCTTGTAGTTTTCTAAGACTGAGTAAACTTCTTATTTTTAGAAAGTGGAGGTCTGGTTTGTAATTTCCTTGTTCTTAATTGGGTAAAAGTCTTTTCCACAAACCACCATCTATTTTGTGAACTTTGTTAGTCATCTTTTATTTGGTAAATTATGAACTGGTGTAAATTTGTACAGTTCATGTATATTGATTGTGGCAAAGTTGTACAGATTTCTATATTTTGGATGAGAAATTTTTCTTCTCTCTATAATAAATTGTTTCCTATCTTGGCATTTTAATTAATCTCTTGTCGTGATTACACAGGACCAGTTAAACTATTTTTGTCTCACAGTAGATGTAAAATAGGTACTACAAAGGATTGAAAGTATCATTGGCACCATGACACTAGGGAACACTCGATGCAGGCATGGATTGATGAAGACCTCGCTGTATATAAATGCTTGGAAAGTTTAAGGGAACACAATGATTTACATGTCATTTTAAAACTTAAAATGAGTCCATGTGGAAGCAACTCCAGGGCCAATAATTCCAGGATATGAGGAAAAGGTACAGAAATAACATCCACCAAAGATGACTTGACTAAATCCAGAGGATTAAAGTTTACTTGGCTTCCTGATGAAGGATCTAGCAAAACTAAATGTCCATTTTGACGTACTTGCTCACAAGTTTTCAGTTGCTCCTTGATGGATTCCCTGCTCATTAAGAGTTTTTGGGACAAATGTCCCTTAGCTTTACGAGCAGGTTAACCACTCTACAGAAAAGGTTGCTCGCCTTTTGCTTTCTTCAGATGCAAGACTTTCACTTTAGAAATCATTAAGATGGGATTCAACAAAAGGTATGTAGATCTTTTTTTCCCAAACTTAAAAGATTGGTTGAGGCGAAGTGAGAAGCCCATATTTAAATGGATTTTCAAAGTTAATGAATGATGTGGAGACGTGATTCACTTAAGCACTACACTAATGCCATTTGTATACTTAGTTACACTTGAGAGAAATTCCTTACCACTTTATTTACACTTGTTAAAGTGCTGGAGTGAAGCTTGAGAAGAACTTTCTGTTCCTTATCTCCTGTGTACTTTGTTCTGTGTGCATTTAATAAAAGGCCTACCCAAGTTGGTCACTTATGTTATGAGAGCAAGTGCTTTTGCACTGAAGGAAAAGAAAACAATCATTACTTGCCACCTTGCTTTCTTATGGCAGGACTGAACTTCAGAGTTGCAGTGTATTGCAGCAGGTCCTACAGGAGTATGAGGCTTTACAATACAGTAATAGTAATGTTTTGCATCCAGTTCAAATGATTGTGCAAGCAAAACCTAAGGCTAAACTGTCTTATTTCTCCTAATTTCTTTCCCACAGTTTTTTTGAAAGTTCAGCTTTACAAATACATATGTAGGTCATGTTAAAAAAAAAAAAAAAAAAAGTATGTCAACTGTCAGCACTTTAAGGATTGCTATTATATTTCCAATAGTATTGTATAGAAGGATGGTTTATTAGTATGGATGAGTGCAAGCATAATGGCTACTGAAGCCATGAACTGTAAAGACCTTACCCATCTGGAACTGGTAGTAGTAGATCCACTGTCAAAGCTTAGGAATGAGCTTGCTTTGGGGTACAGACATTACTCTTAAGCATACTTGAAATATAATTTCACATCTTTACACCTTAAAAATTACACTTACAAGATGATGCTTCCAAATTGTGAAGTATTTAAGGGATTTATTCAAATAATATAACTTCTTCAAGCGATGCTTCTGTTGCATGACATGGCCGTAGGCAGCATATGCTGTGCCTGCATTGAAAGAAAAAAATAGAGCTTGGCTTCCTGTGAAGCAACATTCAACTTCTATGAAATGTGCTGCTGACTATGCTGGGCTTGGTATGTCATGGTGCTCTGTAGTCGTCTTTGCTGTGCAGTAAGAGCAGCGGAAAGATTGGCTATCTAATTGGTCTTTGACACGAGCTGTGTAAATTATGAAAGCATCAGCTGTTGGTACTATCATATTGATAAGTTGAGCATAGCCTTGCAAGCCAGCAAGTGTTCCATCTGTGAGGCTGGTGTGTGACGCTGATCTAAGAATGAGCGTGCTCCCTTAGATGGTTAACATTTTAGTCCTTTTATGGTGGGGTGCTTTCATTCATGGCATGATTTTTTAACTGCAGCTGTAACTAGTAATTGGCACAACCTGTGTCCTCGGTTATTGGGATTTCTTCCAGCTGGAATTTAAATACACCCCAATGTGCACACAATGTGCCCTTGTCTAATTTTAAAAATACTTAACATACTGAGGCAGCAGGGCATAGGAAGGACTCTGAGAGAAATGGAGTAACTGCCAATGCTGTTGCCAATCCTGTGTTTTGATTCAAGTAGAACAAACAGTGCAGTAAGCCGAATGTTTGTCACTTCAGAATTTTATTTAAGTTGCTGTTATGAAACCATGACTCTCATTCTAATGAAAATATTAGAGATGAGAGAAGCATGTTCGAGACTTGCTTGCTAAATGCACGTTAAATAATCTGGACTTTCTTTGCAAGGTACTGAATAATCCTGTTGTTCTGTCAGTGTTCAGCTGTGTGCAACTTAATATTAGAACTCATATCCTAGACTTAATGTAGCATCTGCTGAAACTTGCCGACCTTTCAGTGAATGTCTTTTTTAAGTATACAATTGCTTCCATGTTTATGCCAGGTGAGCAAATCTTTCTTTTTCTCAGGGGATGCTCCCCCACTGTGTCATGTGGTGTCAGATCCTGAGTGTACTTTTGTATTTCATGTTCATTAATGATGCTGCTAGAGCAAGTTGTATTATATGTGTTCTTCAGGAATCTTTGGGGTTTTTTTGTTTCTTTTCTCCTTGCAGTTGTGATTTTTTTTTTTTTTTGTTCTTACCTGTTCCACAGATACTCACCTGCTTTAAGCAGTCATTCAGATAATCATTTTTTTCTCCTGTAGGCTTTAGGATCATTCTTAGGTCTGAATAGAGGTTCTAAAGGCTTCCATTAAATTTTTAATAATGCTGATTTTAGTGTTCTACTTTTCTACCAAGTCTACAAGGATTTTCTGGCAGATCTGGTATGATGGGCCTTATAGTGCCACAGGATTTTCTGATGGTTGGTTGGTTGTATCAGGCTACATGAGATCTTGGGAATAAACTACATGGGCACTGTTCTGTTGGGAAGGTACTGTCTTTGGGATCTACTTCTGTTGATTTTGTATGAACTTGAATAGTTCACAAGATATATATTAAAAAAAATCTAGTCGTCACTAAAGACGACTTGGAATCAGAAGATGGTGCTGTCTTGTGTCATAGTTAATGATGACCATTCTGTATATTCTTGGCTGTGTCAGCCTTAAACAGGTTAAAAGAATGGCTTGAGAGATGATTTTGTAGTGGGGGAACTCCTGCATTAGGACCTTGCAAAACAGTTTACTGATGTGCAAACCATAAAGAATCCAGTTAATGTTCCCAGGGTGGTTAGTTTGTCCTGATGCTTGTAAACATTTCTGTCACCAAATTAAGCAGATGTCACTGAACGTGAACACCAAATCCACATAAGATGTCCTTCTAATTAACCTTGCTTACTTATGCGCTGAGAATATGGTTTCTTGTTATTGCACAGGTTATTTAGCAGTGAATAAAATGAAGAACATAGCTTCTTTTCTTTACTGAGTATCTGTGTAAAGCTTATTTCTGAGTTTCCATAAATCAAGTAGCACTCTGCATTTTCCAAAGTTTCCTCTATTTGACGTCATAATTTTTAGCAAAAATAAATTCATATTGGCAGAGGTTGCCACGTGACTGAAGAACATTAAAGCTGTTTTTAGTTTACAGAGCGAAACATGTATAGAGTGGAGATAAATAGCTCTCCTAAAAAGGAATGTATATTTACACATTCTTGGTGTAATAGCAGAGGTTATTTTTACACGTTTCAGATTTACATTCCAATGTGGCATGAAGTGAATACTGTGAAGCAGGATGTTAATTCAGTGGCTTTCAAAGGTTGGTAGAGCAAGCTGGGCTTTGACAGTAAATGCTGTATTAATGGTTAGAAGTGACAATTTCATCAACAAAGGAATTGCAGGGTATAATTAACATCAGTTGCTTTGACACTATGCTTTAATGTATGGTTTCAACCTTTCTTTCAGTAGCTGTTGGAGAATGCACTGTGACAAATTATTGCTGATACAAAGTAGGTCAACAGTAAAATGGCTGACTTACCATAAATGATTGCATCTGAGTTATTGCGACTTTGTGTCCAGTGGAGCTGCCGTAGTTTTCTGTGCCCTTGTATTTCTGAAACATGCAGCTTTTCCCATCTCCTAACCATTGTTGTCTAAACAAGAAGAACATTTTGTCCCAGCTGTTCGGGAGGGATCCACATGACTGGTAGGATTCTGTGTGACAAGAAATACTTGTCATATTGTAGTTCTGTAAATACATAGCTAGCACTGAGAAATGACTCAACTAATGAAAATAAGTGAAATATCACATCTTTGAGTTTTGAGGTGTTCTTCTCCAAAAATCTCCCAGGGCAGCACACAAGGAAGGGAAATAGGGCTATGATGATATTAAATTCATTTATGCACAGGGAAGTGTTTTCACCCTGTGATTCTCATGATTCTCAGCATCTCATCATGGCCTACAATGAGCTTTTAAAAGTTTTTGTGAGAGGTGTAGCTTTATTTGATGCTTTTATCTCTTGGATGTCAGGAAATGGCCTCTAGCTTTGCCATTTCTCTGGGGCATTGTAAAATCTGGTACAATTGTATTATGTGATGATTATATAACTGAATAAAATGATAAACAACTATTTAATCGGTCAGGATTTTGAGGACACAGGGGAGGAGAACTTGAGCATTCTTGGAGCAGCCTTGAATATGTGCAAGGAGCTGCAGTATCTGAGGCTCCAAACAACAGGGACAGGGCTGGGGATGCTGCCTGCCTTTCACTGCTGCGTTCCCAGGCTCAGCCCTCAGCCAACTGGCTCCAATGTAGAGCTAGGGCTTAGGTACAGCTTCAAACTCCAATATCAGCATAAAGACAGATTTCTAGTCCTTCTAATATCATCTGCTGACACTGGTTGCAAATGAGATATTTCAACAGCGTGCCCTTGCTGTTCTGCTGTTCTACAAAATTCCATTATTATTGCTTTTTATAACCTAAGAACAACTAATTATGGGTGTCTGCCCTAGTACTCTACTGGCTAGCAAACATGTTCATTAACAGACATCTTGTACTTTGAAAGAATACTGAAAGACAACCTTCACCCATGCATTCTTTCTTTCCAGTGTGAACTTTAAACCCATTTTTGTATGCACACATATACCCAGAGGCACAAATAACTTTCTTTTATAAAGACATATATATGTAATTATTAAAATCTTTTTCAGTGGGTCATCATAACTCCTTGCTTCTAGTGATTTAACTCACAGGTCACTGCAGATGTTCTGAAGATTGTAAATGCACACACGTGAGGAAAAATGATTACTCTTACTTCTGGTGCCTTAATACATTCACATTGTTTTGCTGTTTCAATTTTACAAATGTGAATTTGCAGCTCAGCTTTGTTTGTTGGCTGAGCAGATTTACGGAATATTCTGTGCTGCTTAAAAACAAATTGTTGTCTGAAGGAATATTTGCCATATTTTAATCAATTTAATATGACTGAAAATAAATTCAATGCAGCTAAGATACCTTTAGAATCTTAGATTTGTTCATACTAAAGCTTTGTCACACAGGAGACTTCCCAGTAAACAGTCATATGAACCACCAGAAAAAGCTTCATTTCAGTGGAGCTGAGCACCCTTCCCTGCGTAAGTGCACCACAGCAGTTGGTTCTATCTGATTTGTTTGTGTTCAGTGGTGTATGAATTAGAAATTGTTATCCAAGTGTGAAGGGCTCTATATCATACGTGCAAAATAAGATTAAGCTATCCATGTTTGGTACACTTAATGATATAAATTTATACTGGTGGCATTATGTCAACATTTGCAATTGCTTCACTAAGTTTAACTTGTAATCTTTTCTTTAACCATTTCCTGCTTGCTTCCTTTGTCATTTACAGCCTATATTCTAACTCCCTGGCTTGCAGTCAGTGTAACATCATCTGCATTATAAGCATTCAGATCAGTAGGGAAAAAATGAAGCAGAGGAAATGGCAATATCAGTCTGAATCAGGATGACATTAAAGCAAATAATACGTTTAGTGCCATGTTTGTAAAGGATCTGATTCTGTGTGACTAAGATACTAGAATATGCGTTTTGATGTTATTTGTCACACTTTATGTGTTTAACCAAGATGAGGCTTTTGTAATATGACTGAGGAAAAGTATGTTGCAAAGATGTAAGTCCTTTTCAGAGGGGCACCTGAGCAAATATATCTGCTTGATTGCTTATGCAAATGTTCTTGTGAATATCTTCAGAGCCTGATTGCAGAAATGACAAGTCCTGCATCTCAAACAGCGGAACACTGGCCGAGTCCTGCACGTGGTATTTTCCACAGTTATTCAAAAGGAAAAATACATGCATGTCACTCATGTTTGAAATCATTAGTAGAGTTTACTGAAGTTGAAGAAGTTAATTCCAAGCCAAGCTGACAAGTGTACAAAATGTCTCCTGAATTATCAGACTGATGTAACCCCATGACTAATTCTGCAATTCTTATATGTTGATTTCCTTTTCTTGCCCTTTCTCGGTGCATAATCCTATCTTCACAAACATCCCTCTGTAATCAGTTTATAATCAGTAGAAGGCAGATTGGATTTTGAATTGGATTTGCACTTTTAGATTCTAAGGCCGCAATCTGTGTACTTTCCTAATTTCACCATTATGAGTACCATGAAACCTCTTAACTTATTCATGTGAATACGTCATCTGCCCTTCACTGTTTTATAGGATCAAGTATGTGTCAAAAGCCTTCTCAATGAGGCAGAAATGTGGTTTTTATTATTTCCATAGGCATTGGAAGGCACATTAAAATCTTTATTATTGACTGAAAAGAATTTTTCCCTTTATTGCAGTAGAATAGAGATAGTGAATAGACTGAAAAGTGAATGCTGCACACATACTGCATCATGATCTCATTCTCAACATGATTGCCTCGGTGTTTGCCTGTTCCAGTGTACGTGAGTCACACTCCAGTATGCGATTTGCTTAAAAGCAATAAATGTCAGCACTTTTATTTACAATCTGAAGATTTAGAACTCAAAGCTTCAACGCTTTTTATGCAGCTATGAAGACTAGAGGCTGTCTTCGCCTTTTTCTTTTAAATGAAAAATGAAAGCCTTGATTGGCTATTAGTAGGTCTGGCCTAGCTGCAGTGGGTTAAAATGTAACTATTCAAACCCAGACTTTCCCCTGCTTAGACAGAAATTGCCCTTCTGGTAGATGGGGTAGCAGAAAGTGTGTCTGGTACATTCCTTGGCCATTCTGACCCTTGCTCAAAATGAGCTGAAGTTGTTAGGGTTGCTAGATTTGTGCTATGGCAGACTCCAGACACAGTGGTATCCAAGTGCTGCTCTCATACCTGCTGAGGAGATAGCAGCCTCTGGCCGAGGGCTGCGTTAATGGAGGCACTGTGAGCTTAACACCCGTCTGTGTGAGCCCTGCAAGCTGCTGTTTTCACCTGACGTCAAGAGCTGAGGTGTATGGCAAAGCACATTTGTGCTGAATTGTCAGGATGAAGTTCTGTGTGAGCTGTGGGGAGGGAAGGGAGTGGAGAGAGCAAAAGACCAGGCAAATAATCCATATGGTGAGTCAGTGGAAGAGAATTGAATGTAATTTCAACCTAATCGTGACTCACAGTCCTATTGTTTATAGTTGTTGAGAGGATGTCTGATCACATAGGCTGCAATATACACATTTATCTTATGTCCTTTGGGACAAACAAGGGAATTTATAAGAAAGGAAAGAACAACAACAGAAACCAAGCTTTTAATTTTAGCTTACCTCTTTTTTTGTGTATATATGAACGTTTCCTTTCATTCTAAACGACGTTGCCCCAGGCTTCTGTGCTAGCAAGGCTGGCAAATTTTGCTTTTGAACTGCGTGTGCTTGCTAGGAATCATGCATGCATTATAGAACTGCTTTTTAGATGCCTACAAGAATGTGGGGCACCATCCTGCGGTGTTTATGTTACATTCTTGTTAGGTAGCACAGCAGCGGTGCTTTGGGAACCTGACTTTGTACATGTACAATTCAGTGGATAATCCTATCCTTCATTTTCACGGTCCTTGAGTTTGGTATGTGTTTGACTGCATCTACTGTTACTATATATTGCTCAACTCCAAGATAAAGCACCGTGCTGATTTGCCGGAATTAGGTTCCCAAGTGATTATTTTCTTTGCAGCCTACTTTCCAGATGTAGCTATGAGCAGCGTGGATGCAGCTTGGGCTGCAGATAACATACGGTCAGGGGATAGGGTTGCTGCCATGATATGGAAGCCAGTTATTTTAACTGGGGTAAGGGGAACTAACAAAACTGCAAGAAGGGCTTTTTGGCTAATTATTTCTAAAGAAAAAAATCCTTCTAGTGGAAATTTTTCTGGAAGATGTAATTGTGGTTGATTGGCTGTCCCAGTGGTGGGTCTGCACGCTGCTTTACATTCTCAAGAACGCTCAGGTTGCTTAAAATATTTAACAGTACTGTTACATACACACTATGTGTCCACAAAGGTTTGTCCATGCAAATGTACAAGAAGCTAAATCATTGCTATAAAAGAGGAGATTGGCTTAAAAACATCTGCAAATACTCTGGATTGGTTTAAACAATGATTATTGCATAAAATTTATGAAAAAAATGGTGGATACATCCAAAAGCAGGGAAGCATTCTCTGTCCACCTGGGGACAATTCTCATATTTCAACTATTTATGTGAAGTTCTGCCTTTTGGAAAAAATTGACCCTGAGAGGAGGGAATTGGAGGAGCTTGATTTACGGAAGGCATCTTGAATCTCACCTACAAGTCTTAACATCCTTAATCTATGAGCATATCTTCTTT